AGGATGCCATACTAAGTATTAAATTATTAATAAAGTTTGTAGCCATAATGTTAGGCTTTCATAAAAGTCTTTTTATTGGTGTTTATATACCAAATTGCGCTCACAACATCCCAAAAACTGACCGCCATTACTTTTGCCGGTGACTGTAACTGTCAAATCTCTTTCCTATTTAAATAAATGCACAGCACTCGATCCCATGACGTTGTGTTTTTCTGCAATATAAATAGAGCACGTAATCTTTCGGACTCTAAGCTTCGAAAATTCAAAAACAGCTGTTTAACAGCACCGATGCTTTATTTAGCTGTATCTCTAATACGTAAAACTGAATAAGTAATCGCGCTACACTTAATTATGTTTTATACACTAACGTCAGGTCAACTATCGCGGGGGAGTAATTGGTAATGAACCACGAAGTTGGCAGCCCCTCCGTCGTTAAATCATGCGAAGTACAGTTGGTGACCTTTAAACCAGGCCACAGTGCTTATGATTGATTTCGTACAAACCCTGGATTGCTAATTAAAACGCGCGGTATCGGTTCTACTTGGATAACCTGATAAACGAGTTTGTAATAAGTAACTATCAATTGTATTTGCCAATTCCGTGATTGATGGACACCGCTATTGATATGAATCTACGATTTGGACATACAATCAATAACCAAGTATTATGCGAATACTTGCTTTGGTAAAATGATATTATACGTGACTGGTCTAATAGAAAATGGGTGCAAATTGAAGGACTTTAACTTAGATGAGAATTTAATGTTGTTTGCTAGTAAAAATTACATATTTGTCACTTATTTTGTTAATTATTGCGCGGATAATTGCGCAACTGCAATGTTGGAATTTCTGTGCTATGATAACATTAACCATCGGCATTGTGTATTCCGAGGAAGAAGTCAGCTAATTATCCAGCCAATAAAAAAATTGCTTACAGTGGGTTTAATTGAAAATTTATTTTATTCTTTGTTCTAGTATATCACTAGGAAACGGGAACCGTTGTGAGTCCGGAGCAAAAATTCACATGATTTACAAGTAACCAATCAGGAACTTGTATCCGTTGATTTTAATACCGTATACAAGCACCCACCCATAGGATCATCAACTCTTATCGACATTATTAAATGATCAGCAAATCATTACGTAAAGTATAGTCCACAACAGCGGTATCTATAGAAGCATACTTATTTTGTATACTTACATAATGAGCAGTAATATTGGGGGGTGCTTATTCACAGTAGTATATGGGATTAATATTTTACGTAATTATAAAAATATGATAATAAAAAAGTACAGTTATAAGAAAGATTTTGTATTGAATGAGATTTGATATAGATGAACGGTTATATGTCACGTTTTATTTTGTAAATTGAGAATTGAACATGTGGTTAAACTGTAAAAGGATATATTTTCTTCAAGATAATAAATGAACATGTGCGCATTTGCTAGTTTGGAATTGGAAATATTCATAGAGCAAAAATGTGATGTAGTAGTAGGTGGAATGATCTTCACAACGCGATCATTAAAGACAGAATACCTAAAGATGAATAATCAAACTGTTAATGATGAAGCATTACGAAAACGCAAAAGAAGAGCAATGGAAACAGCTGATGAACGAGAATCTCGTCTTAGTAAGGATCGAGAAAGGAAAAGAAAAAAGGTAGAAGAAGAAACAAAGGAAAATCGTGCAAACCGGTTGGAGTATCAATGTAAGAAAGCTATGCAACGAAGGACAACAGTAAATGATTATTATAATAAAAGCAAGATGCAGCTGAGACCAAGACTTAAAAATAATCAGAAGCTGCAACAACATAAACATCCAAAAAGCAGAGAGATCTCACAGAACTTGAATGGTAATACACAGCAAACATTCGAACTACCTCCCGCTGCTGAGCTTAGCATGGCTGATCGAAAGCTTTTGAAGGATTTTCGTAAAAGAATGGATAAGTTTCAACATGTTGTTTGTCCTGTTTGTAATGAAAGTTATCTGTCAATGGTGCTTGTAAAAGGAAAATGTCGACGGTGCTATAGTGAAAAGATCATGCCTAATAAATTTTCCGCAGATAACAATATGGACCCAGGAGACATTCCAGAAGAACTTCAAGACCTCACAGAGATTGAAGAAATGCTTATTGCAAGAGCCTTTACTGTAATGTCCATATACAGATTACGCGGTGGTCAGTATGGATACAGAGGAAATGTTGTAAATTTTCCTCAGGATATATGTGAATTTGCAACACGGCTTCCACGGCATCCATTGTCATTGGAAGTTCTAATTGTACAACGCCATTCTGCTCATGATTTAACAGCATTCCGAGATTTTACTGTCTGTCGGGCAAAAGTCACTTGTGCATTACAGTGGTTGAAAGCCAATAATCGATACTATACTGATATTATAATAGATGAAGAGGCTCTTCAATCCTTGCCAGAAAACTGTTCTATTGCAGATCAGCTACCACAAATTGAAAATGATCAATTAAACGAGAATTCAAGTGAAGATGAAAATGACAATAATAATATGATCACACGCACCTTTGTTCCATCACCTCCTCCATCTCATAGTGAAGAACTTGCTATTAAAAGCACACTTAATCGAATACAATTCGAAAATCCGCCCATGACATGGCCACAGATTGACAATAGTCCTATAAATGAGTTCCAAACCCCAGGTTATATTGCAATGGCATTCCCAACATTATATCCAACTGGAAAAGCAGATCTTCGTGCAGAACATATTAGAGATATAAAGCCAGCTGAATACTTCAAGCATCTACTTAGATATAAGGATGGAAGATTTGGACAGCACACCCGTTGGCGTTACTTTGCATTGAATTCTCAGATGCGATGGCGGGCATTGCAAGAAGGGAAAATATATGTTAAGCAAAACTTAAATGATGATGAACTTACTGTTAATGACATCCAAGAGAGAATTGCAACAGGTGATAAACACATGGCTGATCGGATAATGCAGTATGGCAATGGAATATGTGGATCACGGCAATTCTGGATGGCACGGAGATGTGAGCTGGCAGACATGATCAAACAGCTGGGTTCAAATGGAATGATATTTTTTACATTTAGTTCTGCTGACCTGCATTGGCCTGAATTGCATAAGTTAATGCCAGAAAGAAATACAAAAGAAAATGAATACACAAAACTTTATCATACAAACCTTGTTGATAATCCACATGTAGCTGCTTGGTTTTTCAATAAAAGATTTGAAAAATTTTTCAATTATGTGCTGAAGAAACATTGGAATCTGGAAGATTGGTGGTACAGATTTGAATGGCAACATCGTGGCAGTGTCCATGTACATGGTATTGGAAAGATAAAAAATGGACCAACAATTGAATGGGAAAAAATAAAAGATGATGAGAATGCAATGAATGAGATAGTCAAATATGCTAATTGCCTAGTTACCACAATTAATCCAGGGATTGATGCACCTATTCCAAACCGTCATCCATGCCAGAAGGATCATAGTGAACTGCAAGATGATTTGCAAGATTATATTGATCTAATTAATAAGCTGCAGCGACATACCAGATGCAGTCCTTCTTACTGTATCCGCATTAATCAAAAAGGAGAACAGATATGTAGGTTCAAATATCCCAAAGAAAAGTCAGATCACACATTTGTGCGTGATGATGGCCATGGCAGACCAGAACTTGTAACAGCACGAAATGATCCACTTATAAATCCACACAGCAGATTACAACTGCAAGGATGGCAGGCAAATGTTGACTTAAAACCTATCCTCAGCACACATGCAGCCCTACAATATATTTCTAAGTATGCAAGTAAATCTGAACCATGGTCAGTAGCATTTTCAGAAATATACAACCAGATACTTAGAACAAGTCAGAAGAATGAACCTTCCCTGATTACAATTCAGAAGCTCCTCCTCCACAGTGTTTCTGAGCGTGATATTTCAGCTCAAGAAACAGCTCATCTTCTTCTTGGAATTCCTCTATACCATTCAAGTCGTTCATTTGTTACATTAAATCTTAACAAGGAATCACCACGATGGCTTCACGGTAGTGGAAGTGAGAAAGGAACAAGCATAAGCAATAAATTTGGATGCACAGGACAATCTCCTTTGACAAAGTACTGGAATAGACCTGTAGAATTTGAAGACTTTTCACTATTTCAGTTAAATCTAACACACAGATTTGTTAATGGAAATTGGAAAAAATGTACAAAAGAAAACATAGTCCGAATATGGCCACGACCATCACCAATACATCAAGGATCTGATTGGGAAGAATTTTGTCGAGTAAAGGTCCTTCTTCATGTCCAGCACAGAAATATTGAACAATTGACCAAAAGTGGTGATATCAAATGGTCAGTACTGTATGATCATTATATTGAAGAGATCAACAATAGCCCAAATGACCTGCTTGGACCAGCTACAGACAATAAAGAAGAGATTTCTGAAGAAGAGGAGCTACTGGAAGAAGAAAATGATGATGATCAGGATGAGTACAGACCTGATTGGATGATTCTTGCAGAGATGGGACCAAATGCAAACATAGAGCATTCATCTGACTTGGGAAACTGTGATATGGATCGAAATCATGATTGGCTTAATGATGGTAAACAACATTATAAGGCTTCAGATCTTGCAGATGCTAACAATTTTTTGCAACACATAACTGAAAATGAGCTAGAAAATGAAGGAGATGAAAATCATGGTAATGTCAACTATGATAGCTTGAATAAAAAGCAACGGATAGTATTTGAGAGGATAAAATCACATTACCACAGCATACTCACAAACTCTCAAACTGAACCACTAAGAATCATCATCATGGGAACAGCAGGAACAGGTAAGTCATACCTTATAATGGCAATCAGACATATGTTTTGTGAAGTGGCAGGGAAGACTCCACTACTTGTACTTGCACCAACAGGAGTTGCAGCCTTCAATATTAGAGGGAGAACAGTTCACTCTGCACTATCTATACCAATATGTAATAGTAGTAATAACCTAGATATAAATGGAGAACGGTTAAAAATATTACAGCAAAAGTTAGAAGGTGTAAAGTATATCATTATAGATGAAAAAAGTATGATTGGGCGCAGGATGCTTGCTTTGATTGATATAAGGCTACGACAAGCTTTTCCTGAACATAACAATGAACCTTTTGGTGGACGATCAATAATCTTGTTTGGTGATTTTGGGCAGCTTCCACCTGTGCTCGATCTTCCCATGTATGCTAGCAATCAGCATGACACATTGTCAAATGATGGATTTGCTGCTTATAAGCAATTTCAGGAAGTGTACAAGCTTGATGTAATTCAACGGCAATCTGGAGATTCTGAAGAGCAACAAAAATTTAGGGAGATTCTCTTACGGTTGCGTAATGGAGAATCAACTATAGAAGACTGGGTAATACTTAGCTCAAGACTTGAAGATAAACAGTCTAGAGAAGAATGCAACTGATTCTTAGATGCTACATTTATATTGACAAGATGGATCGATGTTGAGTTAATTAATAAGGAAAAGCTCAGATCCTTGAATTGTCCAGTAGCTAAAATCCTTGCTATACATACTGGTGGCAGGGAGGCGAAAAATGCTGATTCTGATATGGCAAAAGGACTTGAAGCTCAGGTGTTCTTAGCCAGAGGGGCACGTATCATGTTAACAGCAAATCTGTGGACAGCAGCTGGGTTAGTTAATGGCTCCATGGGGACTGTTCGGGATATTATCTATAATGACCAAGGACCACCGTACCTTCCTACAGTAGTCTTCATTAGCTTTGATAAGTACAAAGGGCCAGCCATTACTGCCTTAGATGGAACCAAAGTTGTCCCAATCACACCAATCCGACGTACTTGGGAAAGTAAAAATGGAAGAGTGTGTTCGCGATTACAATTTCCAGTTTGTCTTGCCTGGGCCATCACAGTGCACAAAAGTCAGGGACTCACCTTACCAAGAGTTAAAATAGATCTTGGATCAAAAGAATTCGCAGCAGGTCTTTCTTTTGTAGCAGTGTCTCGTGTGCGTGCTCTAGAAGATCTTCTCTTTAAACCTTTCAGTTTTGAAAGGCTCGAACGAATCAAGCTTTGCAGAAGACTACAAGAAAGGAAGGAAGAAGAAAAAAGGTTGGTTTTATTGTCGCAAAATAGCATAGAGTAAAGCTTATTATTGTTTAAAAGTAATAAAGGCGAATATTTGTTTTTCTTTTACCCGAGAAAATAATAATATGGACGCGATTGATAACATCATCATCATCAATCACAATTATTGGTTGAGATCATGTGCCGGACAGAGAAATTCATGTGATCGAAATTTTTTCATAGTGCATAGACAGTAATAGTCCTCCGCTTTGCTCCGGACAATTATTGTGTTGTCAAGTCTAATTGGTTGAACCACGATTTTTTTGTGCAACTTACAACTCTGCTCTACAACTTCTTAAACACATGGCTAAATCTTTCCATCTTCTTTTCTAAGCAATACACAAATCGAGAGCTTGCAGAATGTTGCTATTCTTAAAACGTTTAGGTAGGTAAAAACCCGCGTTTTAGGATTAAGTTGAGAATATACTGAATGAAAACAGTCTATAAGCATATTAATGCTACGGCGATGGGACAATTGCAAAAAAATTTTTATCACAGTAACATATCCGGTCTTTATTTTCACTAGAAGACTTATTTCTAAACTAGATATACAAATACACGCTAACGCAAGTTTTTAACATGTCTACTTAAGTAAGAAGAGGTGAAATAAAAAATACATTTCTGAAAAGTGGAGGAAAGTTTTAGAGTGACCAAATACGTCAACTCGTTTTATACTGATAAAGCCTTCTCCGCTTTCATTTCAACGTCTTCGGTTTTGACGTACTAAACATGTTCATCAATAAGATGCGCAATTAAATTATCAAAAGTACACCTTCTCTCGTATACATTATACTGTAAACAGATCGAATGATATCTATGTTAACCAATAAAATCGTAAAGATCTGCGCTGTTTGCATAATCCAAGTTGATCAATCGTTTGATAAATCTCTAAGCGATGAAGATATGATTGATTTGACGACAATACCGAGGATGCAAATACAGAATCGATATATAAACTACCAGTTCCGTTTTTGGCTGACTTGAAAATGTAGAAGAATAATCGTAGAAATCGGTCGTCAATCGTGGTTGTGTTCGACAAAACATAAGTCGTATGATTGTAAATCATGCGATGCATGGCTCCGCTTTTGGCCTACCTGACAGTGTCGTAATGAAAGTGCCCATACTGATAGCTGTAATTAGAGAGCAAAGTGTTCTACCAAAAAATGTACCTGTAAACGAGCGAACAGCATTTGTATTAATCGTTGATAATGACATGATAATAGTCGAAAGCATTTTGTTCTAAAAAGTAAAACAAATAGTTTATTTTTTATTGATACTATACAATCAAAATAAAGAGCGTAATCGTCTGTATTTGTTACTGTAATAAAATTTTTTTCTGTAATTGTCTCATCTTGAAATGGAGTCAATTCCTGTAACATTAACAGTATAAATATAAAATTATACACAAAACTCTTATAAAATACTCGCAGATTATATAACATTTGTAAGCTATACAGCAGATACACAAGCAGGCATATGAATAACATGACAGGGCATACTCTTTCTAGAAAAAAAAACTGATGCAATAAAAAATGATTGTGAAGGTTGATATTAATAAAATTGGGATAACCATAAGGCTTGAAAGTTTTTCAACAACAGGTATTATAACAAGAACTATGGGAATGACCCCAGCCAAATGGCTCAAATAAAAATTGTTAAACTTAAAAAGTAAAGGTATGCTATAATAAGCCTTCACCATTCTTTTGTTGTGTGGGTAAAAATAGAAAGTCAGTAACATACTATATACTTGCATTAGTTAACAAAATATTTTACAAAAAGAATTTGATTTCATATTCAAAGCTTTTTCCAAGGATGTTGCTCCCATATCTCCAATCTGATTACTTGAAATATGCAACTCAACCAGAGAAGAATTTGATTCCAGAGCCTTTGCCAAAGCTGTTGCTCCTATATCTCCAATC